TTCTGGATTCAATGATTTTGTCGTACATTATTGTCTTTACAGTAGTGTATCGTAACATTATTAAAGAAGACTGGACAAGAGCAAGCTGACACACATATATATATATAATATTTCGATAGCTTGCAAAACTTTAATTCATGTAATCGATTGAGTGACTACCTTGGCAGAGTGCACATCTGGCCAGATATGCGAATCAGTAGTATGCACTTATCATACTTATACCTATATACTAATGTATTTTCTAAAAAAAATAATATTAGCTTTTTAACTTTATTGATAATTCAAACATTTTTATATTGAACATGATTTTATTTAGAATCTTAAGCGTTATTAATTGTTTGATTTTAATGTTATACCAAGTTTTAGTAACACAAATCGTTTATAATTATTCGTTTAATTTTATTAAGTGCAATATAAAATATATAGGTGATGAACTGATGACTATAGGTTTCATTATTTTGATGAATAATGTTCKGGTTTTTTAAAATAATGTTTTTATATTTTATTATGGTTGAAAAATATAAATAATATTTTTGATGTTTTTATCAATACATTGTATCAAGTATAGCGAGTATAAAACTGTATTGTGACATATTTAATGTTCTTAGATATGATTTTGAATATTGAGAAGTTAGTTAACTACTGATTGGTGAATGGCTGTCACTCAAGCAAGAACAATATCTAAATAGGKTTAATAATGATTGAAAAATAAAACAAGGATTTTTACGGGTACATATATAATAATAATATGATTTCCAATATAATTTTTGAGAGGTCAAAACTTAGAAGTATTAATATATTTTAAATTTGTGTGCCTAACTATTGAATTTACTTTACTATAGGGCATAGGCTATCTGATCGTCGAGGGAGATTGACAATTTATATTACTAGGTATAGCTCCGTATAGAATAGGAGATAGGTCCAGATTAATTTTGTACTTACAGAACTGAGTTTATACGGGCGCTCCTACTTGTAAGTAAATAATAATATATATTATCAAACTTTACATACACACTACTACACTAGTATATAATATTGTTTTGAATGGTACAAAAAAGTTTGATRTGGGAAAACAATTTGTCCTTATTCGTTCAAACTCTGCTACACAGTGTATTCCCTTTTAATGCTTTTAGTAGTATTTATAAGACCTAAGTCCTACATATTATATTTATATGTACATTATACATATGTATGTGTGTGTGTGTGTGTGTGTGTGTGTGTGTTCGTGAGTGTAGCTTATATGCGCGTATAGTAGATACGGGAGTTCGATTTTTACGGTAGACCGAATATGCCACACGGATAAGTGGACCATTTTGTACTTGTACACTGTACACCCTTGTTATGTGGTGTATTGTGTCTATAAATAATAAGGCGTATTGACCTCAGATATTAYTCTCGGATCGTCAGTTGAGGTGTACTTTATAGTTTATACCCTTGTAGCGGTGAACAGTATTCACGAGTGATGAATGGTGTTTGAAACACTTTAATATCACGTGCGCCAACTATAAAAGCTGCAAGTAAGTAGAGCTTTTAGGTTTTAAGTTGAACCGGCACCCTATACAAGCAGTTAATAGACCCATAACTACTATTAATAATAAATTTAAATCATCTTGGTCGAATAGATTGTGCAAATTCGWTAACAAAAAATAAATAATTATTTATTGTTTGCAAATTAAAAAAGGCAAGTAGGCCCAAAATTCGTAGTTATTTAAAAATATTGCATGCTTATAATTAAAGTTGTTTACCCATTATTATACAAGATCATAGTGACGTGGAATTGAATCTTATAAGCCCTATTACTATATTGCAGAGRTGGCAAATCGTGGTACCTACGTCAAAAATTTAAATAGGTATACTTATAGTACTTATGTAACAAAATAAATTAAAGAAAAAAAGTAAACCTAACTAGAATTTTAGAAGAAAGTTGGGTAAAATTAAATCATGCTACGTGTCAAAAAAGAAAACGTTTTAGAAAACACAGTGTATAATTGTGTTTTATAAAATACTAGCTGAACCCGTGCACTTCATAACCCGTTAAAAACTCTACCTCTTATATGCCTCAATTGTGTGTTAAATTCGTTACCTGTGATTATGCTAGTCGTATATAGATAGATAATGGTTAACCATTTAAAATCTTACTGCTATCAAGTAATAATTTTACTTACCTTAATTATTATTATGTAATTTTATTCGTTTTATCGAGAATAGTCTGACAATTCAGGTATTCAATTGAATGATATTTATTAAAATGCATTTGGATATACAATATTTTTGTTCTTCCTTCTGGTGCGTACACGCCGTACACAAATAAATCAGGTTTTCCGACGCGTGAGTATACCACATACATAAACAACACATATTCCAAATTCAATTCACACACTTGTAGCGATTGTTCTTGTATTTTGTTGATGGTCATTGCAAAAGCGAGTTGCACCGGAAACTGCAAACGTTTGAATTCAAAAGGCATAACTGTTGGAATCATTGGGATGCGTGGCAACAGAACATCTTCACCTTTAAACTTTCCGTTTAAAATTGTAGCTTCGATAATGTTGTTAAACTTTTTCACTGAAAGCCTGGTACTATATTACAGAGTCGTGGTGGATTGATGTTTCGTAGAAGAATGATGGGCACGCCAAAATTCAATGTTAGAACGTGTGGTGGCATATCTGACGAGTCAAATGAATTTAAGAATTCGGTTGGATAAAATTGACAACTTCGCCGTCTTAATTCATTATGGTATCGATGGGTTGGTACGTTGTCATGGTGTCGCCCGGAAGTTCGTTTAGAATAGTGATGATAATGATTATATTTACATTTTACACCATAGTTTTTAGCTGCCAATATAGATAGCCCGTGCTATAATATAACCACTGACAATTTCTGTAATTTTATGGTAAATTTGGAAAGACTACTAGTTAATTATTATTAACTTATTGACCGTTGCTGTTATTTTACAGAAATTTGTTGGTAATGCGATGAATTGTGTTGATTCATCGGCTAGTTTTCCATTCCTCATTCGGCTCATTCCCAACAATTGTTTTGAGAAACCGTTGGCTGATGCATCATTTTGTAGATGTACACGAATATTTGTTTCATATTTCATATTAGTTTCAAATTTCGTAAAATATTGTTGCTCAGTTGTTTCAGATGAACGGAATCGAGCTTGACATTCTCTGGTTGTTCCCAATCTTGCATATCTTTSCTCGATTKTTTCTAAAGCTCGTATTGCCATTTTCTTTTAAGCTTAAGGCATAGAACTACCAATTTATCTTTTTTAGGAGGCATAACTGCATGGAAATGGTGTTATTATAACAAACAAAAAAAAAAACACAAAATATCAATAAAAACTTGTAATGCTTTAGACGCATGTGCCATGAAAAAAAAAAACAAATTCAAGGATAATCATTTCTTTTACCCTAATAGCAACCATCACTAATGACAACCATTTATAAGCAAAAATTTCCATCGTAAATTTCAAAATGTCTGTTTGAGCACCTCTCGGGGTTGGGCCTATCACTTTTTAACTTAGCTTATCTTCTGCCCGTACGTCTAGGTCTAATATATCTCTGCATAAAATTTCGTCACAATCGGTCCAGCTGTTTAGGAATGCATAAAGAACAAACAGACAAACATATAGAAATCCATTTATATGTATATATAGAAGATAGATAAGTCAGTCAGATTTGCCCCTTCCGATTTCAAACTAATTGCAGGGCGTGTCAATATGGGAACTCTTTATATGCACCTGCATATATGATTACATGAATATTGACGCTGGACAGTTTTCAACCATACCGGTTGTGACTTATTTTTATTTATTTATTTTTTGGGATGAGCGGTACGTTGAGCTTTAGAATTAGAATCACAATATACTTTTAATATCAACAAAAAAATAAAGTAAAACATTTTGTTAATTTATTAAATTTTACGAAGTAAATAAAATTAACTTAATAATAATGATAGGAAATCAATAATACTTTAGGTAAATTAATAAAATTAGTTAATTTTTGCACGTCATGGAAAATAGTAACTATCAGCAAGTTATAATAGTGTATACATAATTTAAATAAAATTCATAACATCAAAAATATTATCAATTATATCAAACTATAAATTTCTAATTTGAAACTTGCTTCAAGTGGTWTAAAAAAATAAGAATTTGAMTATTTGAGGCATAACGCGTGATTTTAGAGTTCCTTCTTTGTTCTTTCGTTATTTTATACCTACTTATTAGTTACTATTATAAAACCGTATACCTTAATCAAGGATTTTATTATAATTTTCTCAAATAATTGACTTTACAAATAAATTTAAAAAATCATCGTACGATTCGTACGTATTATCATTGTCAAATTTATATTTCTCGAATGTTTCTTTACGACTGCTGTGGCCATGGTTATTAGTAAATTGCTCAAACTCTCAACGTCCGTTATTGCCGAGCAAGGGTTTAGTAGTTATTTACATGTCACGTGAATGCGTGATGATCTAGTTCCATATTCCATATACATATATACACCTGCCACCAATACATACAAGACACAAATAATGTGGGTATAAAAAAATCTCTGTCCAAAACTCCCATACACATAACATTATTATGTAGGTAYACTATATAACTGCAGAAATTATCCCGTAACCTCGTTGTCGTCCAATCTTGTTCCATTTTGTATTAAATGATTTAAATGCGTATAAAAATATAATATACTAATTTAATATCATAACAAGTCCCATAAATTCACTGAATAACTCATTATTATCTGTGATTAAATTCTGGTACGCACTTATATTATATGTACCGATAAATATGTTTTTTTTTATTGCTGAGTTCCCGGATCTCGGTGACTATGCGTTTTTATAAGATTTAATTTTTGTTTTTTTGGCATCCAATTACAAACTATAGTATTTGAAACGGCCTAGTAAAACAGAAATATAATAATATTTACATATTAACACAGGTTTTATAGCTGTCTTTATGTACTCAAAGTTCTTGGTAAATGGTTTTTTTCCCCATTTATTTATTTTTAATCAGCAGAGAMCTTTGTTAACTTAGTATATACAAATTACAAAGGAATAAATGCCAACGACTCTGAGAGGGCGCGTTAGTTTTGACGGCCGAGTATAAAATAAAAAATAATTACATWYAATAGTTCAGACAAAAACTTAATTAGTTCGTGATTTAGAATTTTTAACTTTCATTCGGAACAGCTGTCAGCTACATATTAGAGTATTTGAGGAAGTTTAATTTATATATGTACCTTGTACCTATATATAATCTTATTATATCTGTGTATTATATGTTATATTTGAAAGATTTTTTATACTTTCGTGGTCCTATCCGGTTACGTATATAAAAAAAATATAACCTATAGGCTATAACCAATCATAGACCTAATTCCAGATTTTAAATCTACATGATTTAATTTGACGATGTAAATAACTAGGACTAATAAGCATTATTATCACGTTTTATTGAAATGTAGGTTCACTGCATTATTACTTATTTTTAATTAACAATAAACTATAATACAGTGCTGTATGTTAACTATATATTTAGCGTTGTATACATTTCTAATAAGCTTTTTACTTAGTAGGCATAAAATATGTACTTATAGAGATTTTGGAACAAATATCCCCCTTCCTAATAACTTAAAGTTTTTACTGAATTAGTTTACCATTTTTAAGCGATCAAACTTTAAAATCATCAATAWTTAAATGTTATAATATTATAACGATTAGTTAAATAATCAAAATATTGCAAAATATTGCAAAATATTGCGTAGAAACTAGTTATGTATATGTTTTTGYACATTGCTCTTTGATAATTGAATAAATAACATTTAAAATTGATTAAAGCTAATTTAAATTCTGTGTTCATACATTATATAAACAAAACAACCATCTTGGATAAATCCGGATGAATGATAGTATTATTTTACGTAACATCAATAAAAATTACCGAAAGTCACTTCGGCGAATTGTGTCAAAAGTATATAAATAGTATAAAGTTAAACAGTGCATTACTACATTATAATAATAGTTGATATGATTTGCTAGAACTATTATCATATTTATTATTTTTACATGCGATTAAAAATAATTGGTTAGATATATAACATGTACAGATTATGTGTAGGTCTCAAGAATAGAAAGAATAGAAGGTACCCATCATAAAAACAAATTTTTTTCAGGTATTCTGTCATCGTGTGTGAGTGTGTGTGTGTGTGCCCCGTGGATGCTGGGTAGTAACGGAAAATACCTACATATAACTTTTAATTTACCTACATATTTGAAACATTAAGTCCAACAAGACTTATTGAAAAAAATAATAAACGAAATTCATAATAAATTACGGTTATTAGAAAATGATAGTAGATTAARCATTAATTTATTGATATAGAAATAAAATGTAAGTGAATCGCATTACTCGTTTATCGTTTCTTTTAAATCAGGAMATAATTATACTATTATTCTAAGTTTTTAATAGTATATTATAGGTAGTAGGTACATAATCTTTTTGAATCACGAATCATTCGTATTCTTGTTGACTTGAAGTTAAAACTTACTTAAATCGTCGACTTGTGTGTTTATAGATATCGATAAAACCCAGTACTGGTGGTAGCACATGGTTCATAAACTAAAAACTAAAATAATCTACGTCAATATGTCATTTTAACCTTGTTATTTAAAAATCAATCAATTATTTAAAAACTGTTTAATAATTAAATAGATCGATCGAAAATCTGTCTGAATAGAAATATTGTTCGATTAACTGATTCAGGTGGTAAACATTTTGAACAATTTTTCATAGTATTGTTTTGCAGGGATAATCAATTAATATTTTTGTAATGGCACTATGAATTTAGACAATTTTTTATGCTCAATCACATRTAACGTTGTATAATTCTAAATAAAATGAAGAAAAAGTCAAACACTTGAGTTAAAATTAATGAAAACATCTAATTTTGATCAACTGCAGTAAAAAAAAAAATAACAATTTAAAAAATAATTTTGCTGCCTGAGGACTAGATAAAGTTCGTTGACGGGCTGATTTGATGACCCTGGATAGGATATGATGCGTATATAATAGGTACCTTTACTAATTATACGAACAAGTTTAGTATATGATATACTACGTATAGATACAGCATATGATGCATGTACAAGATTTCACGAATCAAAATTTTAATTTAATTTATTATATTAAAAATGTTAAATCAATGTTATCATTACGGAGTGATATGTGTTTGATATTTAGTCTCGAAGATAGTAAAACAACTATGGGTGATATAGATTTTCRAAACTTCCGTTTGACTATCTTCAAATTTAACACGCAATCCTACTAGAGGTCAAAGACAAACGTAAAACCGAGTGCTGATAATCGGCAGTAAAAGTGACGGCCGTATAAACTCACTCACACACCGCAATCTTTGTGTCATACCTGCCTAGTGTACACCAACCAATGGTCTATACATAAGTACAGTACATGCTATTATTAAATTGGACCGTCAGCTGGTCGTTATGCTGACCTAGAAATCAAAAACGGTATACAGTCCGCTCTCCCCTCACCTCTATTCGATGTTGAACGGGTTTGAATGCCGGCGCGGCGCGGTCGTGCCACGGCCTAGTAATGTTGATACTCGGAATCGATTTTCGGAAATCATTTTTTTTTCGTTAGGAATAAAAATAAAATCGAAAACGCGATAGGCTAGAAAACTGAAATACTGCAGCGGCCGAAATATCACTAAAATATTAATGTTGACGGGTATTATGCATTAAATCGACGGTATATCGCGTCATCGTAGTCTCCACAGGACTACACGACAATATAACGAGTGAAATATGAAAAAAGTGGAAAAAATCGAAACAAAATATAAGTCGTCCAAGAGAGTAGCACAGTGGCTCGTGACGCGATGGCGTGTGAGGTTGTTCACCTTTCACCCTGGACGGGCATACGATGTTGACCCAGTCAGACGTCCCCTCTTTCTCCTTTACACGTACGCCATACATACAACTTCTCTTATTCCATTACGCAGCGTATATAGTAGTAATAGACGATAGTATTAGTACTATGATATAGTAGTAACTAGTACTAGTCTAGTAGTAATAGCAATTAGCAGTAGTATTTAGTAGTAGAGTAGTAGTAGTAGTAGTAGTAGTAGTAGTAGTAGTAGTAGTAGTAGTAGTAGTAGTGAGGAATCATTCAGAGAACGCTAGGCAAATAGTAGACAACCTTGTTTGGGGATGGTGGCAGCAGGAATGGGTAGAATTAACCACCACCGGACAGTGGACAAAGCGCCTGATACCTGATGTATACTCCTGGGTATCTAGAACACACGGTACGACAAATTACCATATGACACAGTTTCTCACGGGACATGGCTGCTTTCAGACCTACCTCTTGCCCAGATCCACTCGGGTTGAAAGCTCAGAATGTCTGTCTTGCGGTGACCCTGAAGACGACGCTGAACATACGTTTTTTAGATGCGGGAGATGGGCTGGAAAACTCAGAGAACTGGAAGCCACAGTAGGAGAGGATGTCACGCCAGAGACTGTMATTTCCATCATGCTAAGCAGTCGAGGGAAATGGGCTGCAGTCGATCGGTACGTYAAGGAAATAATGATTACCAAGCAGGAAGAGGAATTCCAAAGGCACACCAACGCAGTATAGTACGAGACTACGAAGGCGGCGGGCTGGGTAGCCGGCCTGTGAAAAGGACAAACAAGACCCGAACAAACCAAATATATATGTGATATTGTAAATTGTATAAATWGTAAATAGTTATTAGTACATGAATCCAAAGCCTAGGTAGCTAAGAAAGCTCGTACTGCATTTACCACAATTGTAAACCGCAGTTTATTAGTWAGGTGTAAGCTCATGATGTTAAAACAAAATTGTAATTATAATTATTATTTTATACCAATAAATGATGGCGGACCGGCGGGAATGCAGAGCAGAGGCAGTACTCCCCCGGTTCGACGATACCAAGATAAAAAAAAAAAAGAAAGTAGTAGTAGTAGTAGTAGTAGTAATAGCAATAGTAGGCACGTAGTCGCAAACGTGGTATATGGGTACGTAATCATCATAATATTAATAATATTATTCGGAATTTGGTGTATATCGATCGAACGTAAATGGAAAACAACAAATCGCGTATTATGGGCAACGGCTTAAAGAGACACGACACCAGACGAGTAGACGACTTGCAAATGAGCTCACCCGAATCGTTTTAAAACGCTTAATTATCCATACTAAATGAATTTAAAATGYTTTATTATTATTTTAATGTAAAAAAATGTACATATTGCTGTATATTACGCTACTTAAAAATTGTCTCTTCTAATGTAACGGAACTGCTCCGTGTTTAATCATTGAAACAGACATCGTGACTATGAAGACTGACGGGTGCCGAAACGAACACACCATAATCTTTTTGTGATAATAATTTTTATTGGTAAACGGAACTACTGAACTACAACGGAACTGTTGCGTGTTTATCCGATGATGCGGGCACAAAGATTTGTTAACAACAAAGTGACAAATAGTGATATGATTATTAATAATTTATTCTTCTATATCATATTAATATTATGTCTTTTTAATTCCATATATTAATGCGGCGTCTTGCCACAGCATAGAGTAAAGAATGCCACAGCCACAGTGCCACAGCCACGAGTACAGTTTATCGGAATAGAAAATGTGTCGTTATATTCGTTTTATAATTATGTATTCTGTGTAATCGTACTATAAAAATCAAAAGCGAAAGAAGTTGAAAAATGTACAATAATAAACCGTAGAAGTCGTGGAGGTGAATTATGTTAATAAGACACGTGCAAAAATTATTATTACTTCATACTTTGTTCTATATAGGTAGGTCAAAAAGTAGCGAATCTAGTATGGTTCTCAACTTTCACATTTTATTTTTCAYTAAAAAATATACTTAGAATTTATTTATTTAGATTTTAGACAAATTAGTTGAGATAGTACAACTAAGAATTTTTTATCTATAGATTAATATTCATCAGGTAATGATTTTTTTTTTTTTTGAGATAAAATATGAAATGTAAAATGTATTTATTTAAATTACGTTAGAGACTAATTATTATGATAGCGGAATTGAGAAACGAAGTATATCAGTATATCACACCGTTCAAATGAGAAGAGTACGCGCGAGATCAAAGTAATATAAAATTAATATCAAACGATTGCGCTCATATTATAGTTAAGTATATTAGGTAATAGTTGTATATTATATTAATTTAATAGTCAGTCGTGAGGTTGGCGGTATACCGCCCGATGCCACTCGTGTCAGCTATATATATTATATACATGTAAGCACAACGCACCCATCAGTGCGCGGATCTATGACGATAATATATATATATAAATAATATACCTAGGTACCGTATAAAAAAAATAATGTTGCGTAAATCGACGCTCTGCGGGGTCGAGTAAAAGTGTATATCCCGCATAATCATAATATCTCAACTATAAGTCTATAACACGATGGTACTATAGTAGGTATATTATATTATTATAAGAGGACAATACACACGCACAGCAAATTCATTATATTAAATTCTAGAACCCCCACCTTTTTTATTTCCATCCCTACCACTATATAGGTCAACCAACCGATGGTTGATCGGTGATGAGAGTGGACTTTATCCAATATAAGAATTCTTACCAATTGTTGATGGGAAGGCCTATTTTTAGGGGTGTAAACTGTGTGTAGTGTGCATATATGTGTGTTTATTGTATATAGTTTAATGATTTAGTTTCACCAAAATAATAGATTGATGAATTAGACTAGTTAGAGTATTCTCGTTCAAGTCAAYAAGCCAGGTTAGAGCTCTGATTTATAATATTATATACACTTCTGAAGTGGCATTCATTCGAACGCCTAATATTTAGGTATACTTATTATACCTTATGATAAGTTTATTGCATATTTTTGTTCAAAGTAGAAAAAGGTCAACGTTTTTTTGGGTATTGTACTATTGTACACAAATAATATGTATTATAACTCATATTTATATTGTAACTACATCAAATTAATGTGGCAAAGTAATAAAATGGACGATGAACTAAACCAGGTAAAACAGTTTGATTAAACCAATTATACGAAATATTATTATCAACATCGTTATTTTTGATTTGATTTGTATTTATAAACCACGATTATATTAGGTTTTTTTTTTTAATTTATTCATACTTGAACCATTATTATAGCACTATTTTTGTAATTTATAAACTTAAATGCGTATAGCAAACATTTTTCGTAAAGCATACTTTCCATATAGTAAGTTAGGAATTACTTTCAAACTGTTCACTATTGCTATTGCTAGATTATCTATAATTTGTTAGTTCTTAAATAAAATTATAAAACTGGTATGTTGAATATACGTTAATTATATAAAGAAGAGGAAAGCTTTTAGTATTAACGGATCTGTAAAATGACGATAACTTTCATCCAAAAATGTTAAGTTGAAAGGTTAAGAGGACGTGATACCCGTCTCTGTCTTACAAGTGCATTATATAGTAAATTTTACGTTCAGCAGAACACGTGTAGCTCCGTTTGCTTAAAAATTAGAGTGAATTGACCTCTTATAAAATTTAAAGGTATGATTGTTATCTAGTCAACCTCATATGCTTTTTATTATATTTAAATTTTAAAGGAAGTTATGAGTATTTTAAGATGCACAAAAAATTTAAAATTTTAAAATACTCATAACTCGCTTTAAATTTGATATAAAATAAAAAGCATATGAGGTTGTCTAGATAATAATCTTACCTTTAAATTTTATAAGAGGTCAGTTCACTCTAATTTTTAAGTTAACGGGGCTACACGTGTTCTGCTGAGCGAAAAATGTACCATGTTACGCATTTGTAAGACGGAGACAACACATGCGGGTATCACGTCCTCTTAATGGCTTGATTCAGTATTAGATCAGCGAGAAGTGAAGGTGAATGTAAGCTCCGCAAAATATTAGTTATAGATAAAAAGATAATGAAAAGGTCTAATGTATATAGTTCGCCAGTTTTTATTTTCTTACACCTGTGATCGGCTTAACACATGAAAAATCCACCAGCGCAATACTTATTCCCATATTAAATAATATACTCGTATGTTGACAGCCGTTTAAATGACGTAAGTACGTATAAATTGCTAAAATTGCTATCAGTTGAATGCTTTGAATTGTTTATTTTATATTATATTGTTATTTAAAAATAATTTATGCTCGTAGTATTTGAAAAAAAAATATAACCTCAATATATAGCTAGTAATTTGTGTATACTTTGAAATACATTAAATTTTAAATTTTAATTTTTTTTCTACTGCTATACCGTATAGCCTATACGTAGTATGCGCAATTTATTGTATTACATTTAGTTTATGCCGTTTATGGACGATTATTATTATAGAAATTATATACATATATAATATACCTATATAGTTTTTGTAATTTGTATTTAATACGAATTTAAGTAAGTTATATTGATATACATAGTTTTTTTCCTGGTGGCATTTATACATGAACCAAATTTTACCAGAATTTTTTTTTGTCGGTGTTAACACTAAAAAATGGATAACTGTGGCAGAGTTAACATGCGCTCGGAGTGAGCATGATTAAAAATCTAAGCCTTAAGGACGATATAGACGGTGGTGGCTTACGACATGACTTGAATATATATTAAGCATATATGATATATCATTTTCTTACGTGTATTCGCGTGGGAATTGCATTTTGGTTTTTCGCTTTATACGATGATTTGGTCTAATTTTTCGTCTATATGTATGTATATAATATTACACTAAAATCGATGCTGAGTCCGTCGGCGTTACTAATTTTCGGTTCTCGTAAAAACCACCTAGGTATCATGTATATACATAATATATTATGGTGTTGCAATGTGTTTTTTCCTCTGTATATTATATATAGTCATCAAAGATCGTGTTTGATATATTTTATTTATGCTCGAATTTATTCTCAAAAAAAAAGCACGGCCGTATGTTGTTGTATACGCGTAATAGCATAGATACATTTTAAGTCTGTAAAATTATTATTATATAAAGCATATAAACTTACGACCGTCGCGTGTATATAATTAATTATTTCCTGCGCGCGCTTTAAAGATAACTATTGGTGTATAAAATAATAATACGTTATACCATAATATAGAAAACGTGACACTATATTCCTAAATCCTAAAACGATCGGATGCAGGAAAAAATGAAAAACGTGTTCGTCTACTATATAATATACGACTGTAACTGCATTTATTATTCGCTCTGTTAACAGATATATACTTTTTATTTATAGTAAAAATTCATATCAGTATTTTGTGTAATGTAAGAAAATTATTCTTTTGTTTTATATTGTTAGGCAGGTGTTTTTGATTTAACGAATAATCGTGAGAATTTGATATCGCATTTTTACAATAATTGAATTACGCGCTATACGTATTTGGTGTAGGTAGTCTCTAACGATAAACTTAGTATTATAAATTATAATATATAATATACATAACGCATAACATTACAATGTAATGCTATAATTTATTCAGAAGTTATCAAATAGCAGGATAATTAACACGATTTATTGCTAAATAATTGAATTTCCCAATACACAAAAAATAGCTTTTATACGTCGTGATTATTGTGATAA